ATGCAAAAATATCACTTTTAGCAGGCTCCATTCGGATTAGCTTCTTCATGATTCAAGGGTGGTCCAAGATCTCCTGAAGGGAAAGTCTCTTTGAAGTGTCCTTCATAAGATACAAGACAAACAAATATAGCTAAATCATCAATAGCTACATCATCAGCATAATTCTTTACATAACTTATGAATATCTTCTAATCAACTTACACGGCTAATGAGATTCTTAGTTTCAGCAGATGATATCTATAATCAAACAATAGACTGCTTCATCACCTAGTGAAGTGGTGATTGTATCTGAAAGTCATGAAATTCAGCAAATCATGCTCAATTTATAGTTAAACTGCAAGGAGCTTCTCCATGGAGGACAAAGAAAATCAAGAATAAATTTGAATTTTCTGAAATTCTTTACACTGGATTTAAATTTTCAGTCCAACTTTAATTAATTCGTCAAAATTTAGTTTCTTTCATTCGTGAAGAAGAAATGAAAGACATGAAATACAAATAGTTACAACCAAAATCCATAAATCTCGCTCTGTAACTATAACTCTCATGCTCTGTGGTGAAAATAGAAAACGTGATAGAGGTGTAGCTAATAGTGTCAAACATTCGCTGGCAATTTTCTNCCCTTACCTTCGAAGGATGGAAAAGACTACAAATGCATAAGAAATCAAATAGAAAATCCAATTCATTGAATTTTTTTTATCAAACACCTCCACATCAGAGGTTTTTACCTAAGGAATCAAAATTGGGTCATGAAAAGAATGAGACCGCTATCGATTGCGTAGTTGGTTGTGGAAAAAATACCAACTATATGAAATAATAGTAAAAAGCAATTAGCAGCACATATACATACCATTATGTACACCATCAATGGATCCTGCAAAAATGAAGCACCAGAGCCCTTGAAATTGAAGAGTTTGATAAATTCATATACCTCAATAGTGCAAAGTAGAAAAACCACAAAGTAAAATGAAACTTGGATTAAGCACAAAAAGAGACGGAGAGTGAAATTCACAGTAAATCGGGAAATCAGCAAGAAATACCGAAGAGAAAAGAGGAGTAAAGGCGATAAGAATGAGAACAATATGCGGTGAATGTAGGAGTAAGAGACACGTAGATAGCTGACGAATCACTCTGAACGTTTACTTGGTTCGGATAGTCAAGAAGGAGAAGTAGGAAACTGGAAGATGATAAATCACCAACACTATCAGATAACTGCAACTAAAAACCAAGAATTAAGTACCACATAAAAACCAAAAAAACTAAAATAACAAAGCACTTGAGCGAAAGAATGAGAATAAAACTATTTCTGATGAAATAAACAAAACAACAAAAGCATCAGAAATAGGGAGGCGCAACTCAAAAAATTGGAGAAAGGCGCAAAATAATAAAAACAAAAAGACTAATAAGGGACACGGAATTGAGAAATCAACAAAATAGCAAGCAATACATAGACTGTTTGTGCTTTATCAAATTCTTGTTTGAAGGAAACCGACACATATCTGCCAACATACCATCACCAAGAAATGGGTAAACCAAATTTAAGGGAACAAAGTGCATAGAAATTCAACACAATTCATAGTAGATGGAGAAAAACTCAGTGAAGAAAGAACAAAGGAAAAAGGAGAAAAAAGATATGGGAAAAATTGATTGAAAGTGAAACATACCTGCAATTTGAGCGAGAAGAGGAACATGGAAGACCGTAATCTAAGAAGTAATCTTAAAGAAATTAATGGAAAACCTAACGTGTTATCTTCTTAAAATACAGGTGGAATCATATAAAAATTACACGTATAGTTTTGAGTACACAAACCCAGCCACGTATATGAAACTTGTATGAGCTTATGTGAAATGACTAAATTACCCTCGAGCTTTATAAAAAAGACATGAAACACTCATGTCGAAAACTCTTTCTCTTCTAAAGAAGAGAAGTAGTATCAAAATATTATGTCAATTGACAAGGCTATAAAAATCACATTAGTAAATAGATAATACTAAATACCTGCTAATTTAGTGAAAAATAAATAAGGGACAATAATTTATTTGATTACTATATGATGTGTATCCTTTGATTTTGTATAGATTTGTTATATTTCTGCATACTGCATTAAATAAGAAAATAAAAACTAATATTTATTAAAATAAAATATTTTAGTTCATAATTTTATAAAATTAACATTCTATCAAATCATCCGCGCATCGCGCGGGTACTGACACTAGTATATACATTAAAGCAAGAAAGTTACCATATATAATTGACATTATGATTAAGCCAGATGGCAAACTAATAAATGTCAATAGTATATGGTAACTTTGTTCTATATTTGACTACTTTATTTAAATACAAATAATATATATATATACACACACACACAGAATTTGAATTAAAAGATAATTTCGAATTTATAGATAAAGTTTTAAAATTCGAATTTAAATTAAAAATAAAATTTATCTTTTTTTATCATGTTATCATACTTAATTCGGTTAATGATCATATGCAATCATGTTAGGAACTTTTGTTATTTTTTTTAATTATTTAAATACTACTTCGCCTCTAGCAAAAAAAAACTACTCCATATAACTATAAAACGTTTTCACATTTAAAACCCTATAAGTATAGTTTTTTGAGACACTGTAGCTAGATTTGAATAAACGAATTTCTTTTAAAATAAATGAAATATATAGAGTACACGTCTATGTTTATCCAAATAACAAAAAAGAGTTTACAAAACCAAATAAAAGTTTACTTACATACATAATAAATTAAACATACATGTTGGAGAAAGAAACATCACAAAATCAGTCAATATTAAAAAAAAAAGTTATTTTTTTTCTTCTTGAAGAATATTTGTTTGAAGAGTCAATTTGCATAGATGGACATCAAACAAATAACAAAACTTTGGCTATACAATTGCTATCATTAATTTTAATTTAGCACATTCAAGGAATTGAAGGGTATAAGCTGAAACTCCTTCATTTAGTTGTAGTCAAGCCAATATTGCAAGGGTATAATATTTTTTTCGTTGAAGAATATTAGTTTTGAATCATTAGATTGTGTGAAAGGTTTTTTTTTTCAAACTCAACAAGAGAGAAATTGGTTTTTAATTGATTGTTTCTATAGCGACTTTTAAGTGTAACAAAGAGTATATATAAAGAAAAAAATTGTATGACGTGAAATATTTTTTTTTAAAAATGTAAACAAATTATTTCGAAAAAACTCTTTACTTTTTTTTTTTTACTTCAAAGATAATAAAAAGATAAGATATTTTTGAACATTAGTAGAGAGTTTTAAAATTATAATAATAGAAGTTATCATGGATAAACTCAAAAAAATGAAATCTTATGGAATATTTACATAATATCCGGCCATATTTATTGTTTACTTTTTAGAGCTAATATAAATAGATGATATACCAATAGCATACGATTATACACATATAAATATGAATTATATATAAATTACACATCATTCAGCTTTTTAATTTAAATGGTCGGGTGAGCACCTATATAGGCTGATTAGATAAAGCTAAAAGAATAATATGAAATAATTTCAACCAAAGACTAAAAATATAATTAAAGTTCATACGTAGATAATTTTTATTAAAACTCATCCTTTTATAGTGAAATAAATTAATTTTTTGTAACATAAGAAATAATGACATAAAAAATAATATCAAAGAAAATAAATATTAAAAAAATGTTAGATAGATCTAAGAACCATTATGGTGTCGAAAAATAAACTACGTGACAATTTTAAGACAATATATGCAATATTTTATAATAATAATCAACTAATTTAACATTTAATGATTCGAAGAACAAATTTTTTGTATATATAGAGTATTAAAAATTCAAATTCCGGGGCTAGAGATATTGATAAACTTAAAGTGGAGTCATACTGAAATAAATCCGTTCAAAGAATCATTTAAATTTTCAGATAGCCGATTAAAGTGAATTTTAAATTACGAATAATATATTCACTTGCATGATTATAAAATAATCATTATTATAATATATATAAAGTTTTAGAAATTGAAATTTCAAAACAAAAATATTTTTTGAAAGATAATATCATACCAAATAAGAGTTCAAGTCGTAGTATAAGAATCACATCATAATCAAAGAATTATTTATATCATGTCAACCTTTGTGCTTTGCCATAAATATTGATTATCATTTCGCTTTGTGGCTTATTTTAGGTTCCAGTGACACCTATGAGAATATTGCAAAAATAAAATTATCACTACGAGAATTGAAAAAATGTTAGTCTTTTTTCATGTAGTGTTTCTTAATTAATATCTAACGATTATCTATAATTATTTAAAAGGTTTAAATGTTAAGGTTATTTACATATAATTCAAATAACTCAGATATTTAACATGGTTAATGTCAAATATCAAAATGGCGTAAAAAAAAATCACTAGCGAAAGAATTTTTTTTATATTTTTAGATAGCCAACTAAAATGAGTTTTAAATTAAGAATAATATTTTCAATTACATTATTACAAAAATAATTTTTATTGACAAATAAAGTTTTAGAAACTGAAATTTTAAGAAAGAAATATTTTTTAAGAGATATCATACACCAAATAAGAGTTCAAGTAGTAGTAAAAGAGTTAAGTCTTATCGAAAGAATCTTTCATTGTCTCAACATTTGATTGTATTGCCATAAATATGAGTTATTATTTTGCTTCCTGACTACTTTTAGGATCCAATGGCACCGACAAGAATGATATCAAAAAAGAAAAATAGAAGAAATGATTAATTTTTTCCATGTAGTTAATATCCAATAATTATCTATATTTACTGAGAAAGTGTAAATTTTAAAATTATTTACATACAATACAAATAAGTTAAATATTTGACATGATTATTGTCCGCGCATCCGCGTGCGGGTACTAATACTAGTTAAAAAATATAAGGAAAAAGTAGAAAAACCTAAATTGCGCGAAATTCTTAATATACCCTTGCTGGTTGAACCCGCTTGCCTGCCCCAAATCACAAATTGGCCTCTTAAAACCCGAACCCTAGAGTTAAAACCCTAACCCCTAAAAGTATATCTGCTACTCTCGCTCTCCCACTCTAGACGAGCTTCAATGGCGGACTCTGTGATATCAGTGGACAAGATCAAAGCTTTCTGGCACTCTCAGGTTCATGACGAAGAAAAGTGGAATCTCAACATGGTATCTCCTTTTTCATATTTTCTTTGTCATATTTTTTTAATACACGTTACTCATATATACATATCAGTTACCAGCGAGGAATATGCTTCGGTCTTTGATTTGTCTTCTTCCATTGCTGTGAATTTTATAGGATATTCGGCTTATCAAATTGATGAATGAAGAGAAGTGTTTTACATTTCGATTAGAATGATCAATGACACCTTTTACGACTGAGTTAAATCTGAAAAGTTAAATCTGTTATATTTCGATTTTAAGAGATTCGAGATAAGATTAGAAATCATTAGGATGAAAGCTATGATTGACAATTTGGTTGATTTGCTGATGTTTTGTGAAACATGTTATTAGAATTAATAAGCTCAATAAACATTCAGCTGCATTAAAAATTAAATAAACAGAGAATTCTTCAAATAACTTGTTAATTCTTGTAAACCATCAAATCGACCATAAGATCATGTTTCACAAAGCACATAAGATCATCCTCTTGAGTATTTGGTTAAAGAATCTAATTGATCAAGTTGCATAGCTTTCACTCTTATTCGTTGTCGCTTTGTCAACATACTTTTGACTGTCCTTATTGTTCAAATCATCAATTTTCTTAATGCATATGGAGAATAAATTAAGACTCATTAACGGATGTACACACATATTCATTTATATATGGGTTTTGCTAATCTAGATGTCTGGTGTATCTTCTTAGTTGTAGTAATATCTCCCTTGTAAATAATGTTATTCCCTTTCTAGACTTTATTGGCTCAATGAGCCTAGCCCGATGGCCATTTTTTTGGTTAGCTCCCTATGATTAGAATAGCACATGATGTACTGGAGCTAACATCTCTTCTTTTGTACTAATTGCATCTTCTTGATGCCAGCAATACAACACCTTACTTCATCAAAAAAAAAAATATGGGTTTTACTAATCTATTATATTCCTTTAGTAGGTTAACATTGTATCCATTAATTTCCTTATATGACTTTGTTAGCACATTAGTAATAGGGACCTGTTGTCAGCCACCAGCATTTGTTCAATCAGACAACGCAAGTCGTTTGCGTCATTTCTCTTCTTCAACTAGCGAAACAAAACATTATTATTAGAGGAAAAGAGTATTTGGTAAAAAGATGTTTGCAAGAATATTGAAAGTTGAGACTTTTCTTATTCTCTTTCAAGTTTGTCTTTTAAATAGTGAAGAACACCATTTATACAATGCAAAAAAAATCCAAGAGTTAAAATATTAAATGAAACGTGAATTTTGTGAATGTATAATTAGAAAGTCCATTGAATGAACATTCACAAATAAGTGGATTCGTAACTCACTCTTGAATGTCTATTACTAGATATGTGTGTTCTTTTTCCTTTACATGACTTTCTTCCCACAGGGTGTTTTCCTAGTACTATTTTAACGCGGCACATATTTATTAAAGAACATCCAAGGATGCGTATTATGAATCCACGTAATTGTAGATGTCCATTCAATGGACTCAATAGATATATATGCATCAAAGTAATGTTTCATTAATTTTATTTTATTTTGATGACCGAGAAATCCGTCTGGGGCCGATCCTATAATGTTTCATTAATATTTGTAATTCTTGGATGGTTTTTTTGCATCATATAAAAGGTGTTCTTCACCTTTTGAATGACACACTTTAAAGAATAAAAGAAGTGTCATTTCTACTCTCAATATTTTGCATCTTCTCCTTATATTTATTTTTTTGATATTTTTACAATATCATATCAGTACGCTGTACGATCGCTCTAGTATACTTTCATAAATATTGCCTTCAGAAAACATGAATTATTCTGATAATATATTAAAAATCAAATTATGTTGGATCAAAAATTATAGAAAGATCCTCTTGCTAGTGAGTCCAATTGTCTACCCATATATCAAATTGGCCTCTAAAATCAAACCCTAAGATTAAAACTCTAACCCCTAAAAGATATCTCTTCACTCTAGATGGTCTTCAATGGAAATCTCAACATGGTATTTCCTCTTCCTGATTTTCTCTTACTCCTTGAATACATGATCCCCCATATATATCATTAAGCATAGGAATATTCCTTGGTGCTTGTTTTGTCTTCTTTTAGTTTTGGAATTTATCGGTGATTTGACTTATCAAACTAATAGATCAAGGGAAGTGTTTTTGATTGGATCTACTCGTGAAAAGTTAAATCCAGTATTATCAAAGGCGAAAAGCGCAAAAAAGCGTTAAGGTCTGTTTGGGCTTTAAGCGCAAAGCGAAAATAAAGCGTGGGCTTTAATGAAAAAAGGCGCAACTAGAGAAAAAGTAAAAATGTGTATATGTAATCCAACACTAATAATTATAGCATGAATAACAAATATATAGACAAAGAAATTGGGAAAAAATTACGAGAAAGTGAAGTATCAATTGTTTAATGTCGCCTTTTCAGGATTACACTTATTGGTAAGGAAAAGTATTCCTTGGAACCTTGATGAGATGCTAAAGCGCACACCAAGCGAGGTGAAGCGCTCAATATATTTTGAGCCTCACTTCACGGCTTAAGCGCGCCTTTGACAACACAGGTTAAATCTGTTATATCTGGATTTTAAGAGATTTTGGGACAAATTAGGAGGAAATCGGAATGCACTTAAACCTACTGATGAAATATGATCTTCATTGGTGTTCTTATGAAATTGTTTCATAATATATATCTCACTGAAAGTACGCCGTATAAAAATAGAACTACAAATTTCAAACTGAGAGTATGAGATGTCTCACCTTGTCCAGAGTCTGAATAGACTGAAGGTTAGCCGAGAGATAGAAGATCTGCCCTACCCACCTTGTGCAAATTGAACTTCTTTAATAACTAAAATGTGGTGTTGGTTGGAAGTTGATTCTTATTTTTTGAACATGCAAATACATTTTTTGATTGGGTTTGATCTTTTTGGGAGCAAAATTTAAGCCTACTCAGTGCATATTTTCCTGAAAAATGGTCCCTTCTCGTTGCTACTAGCAAGGATGAAGTTGCAACTTGCCCATTCTGACTCTCCGGACTAACTTACCTGATATCAGGTCTTCTAATTGTTTAAATGATCTGCTAATGAATGCTTTATTTTGTTTTGCTATGTTGTTTGTGCTCTTTATGGTAAATAAGGGATGTTGGTGACTTGGAGTGCTAGCCTAGACTCCATTTGATTGATTCTTGTTTTATCTGTTATTACTTATTAGTACGCCATACACACACTCTTCCTTTTGTGATGCTGATATGCTATGTAATGATATAACTACTAACTTTTAAGATCCACCTAGCATATGACGTGGGGTTAACTTCTGTTTTTCTTCTCTTCATTTAATCAAGTTTTGCCTTGTTTAGGAAACCCGTGTATTTCTCAGCCAGAACTTTGTTTTAACTGCTTGTTTTTCCTTTTCTTCTTTCCCCCTTTTGATGGGGGTGGGTCGAAGTAGTTAATTTTGCAGAATAAGCTGCTTTTCAGGTTCTGAATTGTGTATGATTTTATCAGCATTTCTCACATTGCTTTTTTATATAGCTTGCTTAAATATCATAGGATTTTTGTCTCTGTCCTATCTATCTTTTAATTTTTTGCATATCCTTTTTGCAGAAACTGCTTCGAGCTTCAGCTCTCTTTGCTGGTTCCATCATTTTGATGCGCCAGTATGGTGATCTCATGGCTATCTGAAGAGGAAGTCTGATATTCATTCTGGGCTTCAGAGTCCATTCTCACTAAGACCGAATCTCTACTCCCCCTCCCCCCTTTCTGTATGAAGTACGAATGTTACGAAAGATTAACTACCTCATCTGTTTGATGCCCCCTTACTGAAAACTTCTAAATACTCTTTTCCAGAATTTTAGGTACTTTGTTATTTCACTTGCTTCCTGATTCGTGGTCCTATTTCTAATACTAGTATGTAATTTATAGATGCAGTGCTATCAATCAATGTGAACCTAGGTAATATAAATGGATACTCCTGTCGTATCACTTTAGAATAATAGTTAACGATTACAATTTCTCGTCTTTCGTACATATTTTTGGTTCACTGGTATGCGTACACACTACCTTTTAAGTGTGTTTGCTCGTGTTTTCCAATTGATTTCTTGCTAGGCGGACCCTGAACAGAACTACGCTAGTTTGGCAATGTACAAAATCATGCTTGTTATAACACCCCTGAAAACCTCTTCCTTAATACTTACATTGGAAAAACAGTTGAGGACTTGTTTTTCCTAGAGTGGGCACCAAATTGTCTGGATTCCAAATTATCATTCAGCTGTGTGCTTTAGTTCTAACCCGATGTCTTGCAAAAGGTGCTATAGGGACATAAGAACTATGAAGGAGCACCTTTCCAATTTGCTCAGTCGTTTGGTTCCCAAGAGAATAGGTAATTTGCTTGAGTTAATCGAATGGTACTCTTTGGAATTACAGATGTTTTCGCCTCGGTGTGCTCTTTTTTCCGCTTACCCGACCTGCCCAATTAGGAGGATCAATAGTGTTCTCACTTACCTTCACTTACCCTCCAGTATGCTCGAACCCTTTAACTTACTGGTTGATGGTGGAGGTGCTCTATCACCAGAGCAAGCCTCAATTGTCCTCCGTGTGCCTTAAAATATCTCATTTCTATATTCAGAAAGATAACTATAAGCAGGTTATTTTAAGATCGACAATTGGTTAACTTACTTGTCAAAGAGCAAGGACGGAAAAAATTTCAGAAAGAGTGGAGTATTCAAAAGTCAAATGTCAACTTACGTAGCTGTATCCCAATTCGCTGAGTGTGCCCCGCTTTCGTCCTCATCGACATATATATCTGTCATATCTATTTCTAGAGATCATTAACTTAAATAAGATGTAGAGTTGACTTGAAAAATATGCTTCTATAAATCATCACATTAATCTTCATCATTTCAAACTTGTATCACATCTTAATCTTGTATTATGGCTTTGACTAGCTACTATTTGATGCTCATTTGTTCACTTCTCCTCTCCATTTCTTCTTCCATAGGCCAAACTTCTTTTCAGCCTAAAGCTCTACTCCTTCCTGTGACCAAAGACTCTACTACTCTCCAATACATTACCCAAATTGGTCAAAGAACTCCTCTTGTGCCCATCAAGTTGACAATTCATCTTGGTGGACAAACTTTATGGGTAGACTGTGAAGATGGTTACGTGAGTTCCACTTATCGACCAGCTCGTTGTGGCTCAGCTCAATGTACCCTCGCCAAAGTTAACACTTGTGGAGACTGCAACACCACTCCCAGAATTGGTTGCAGCAATAATGCATGTTATAATACCCCTGAAAATCCATTCATCAAGACTTTATATGATGGTGGTGAAATTACTGAAGACGTTTTATCGATACAATACACTGATAGATCAAATCCAGGTAAGTTTGTTAAGATTCCAAGCTTCATTTTCACCTGTGTTCCTACATTCTTGACTGATGGTCTAGCTAGTGGAGTGAAAGGGACTGTCGGATTGGGAAGAAATCGTATTGCGCTTCCTTCCCAATTAGCTGAAATCTTCAGCTTTCCAAGAAAATTTGCTATTTGTTTGAGTTCATCCACCAAATCATCTGGTGTCATAATTTTTGGTGATGGGCCTTATATGATGCTTCCAAATATTGATATCTCTAAAAATCTCATCTTTACGCCATTGATCACCAACCCTTTTGGTACTGGATCAGTTCCATTCCTAAATGAATCTTCCTCAGAGTACTTCATTGGAGTGAAATCTATTAGAGTGAATGGAAAACCAGTGCCAATTAACAAAAAATTGCTCTCAATTGACAAGAGAGGAAATGGTGGAACCAAAATCAGCACAGGGAGTCCTTACACAATCTTGGAATCTTCCATCTATGATGCTGTGACTAAAGCTTTCGTTCAAGAACTATCTAATGTGACCAGAGTGGCTGCTGTGGCACCTTTCGAGACTTGTTTCAGCTCAAAAAATATCGGTAGCACAAGGGCTGTTCCTGCCATTGATCTTGTGTTGCAGAGTAAACAAGTCTATTGGAGGATTTTTGGTTCAAATTCAATGGTGGAAGTTAGCCCAGATGTGATATGTTTAGGATTTGTGAATGGTGGGATTAAACCTACGACTTCAATAGTAATAGGAGGATATCAACTTGAGGACAATCTTCTACAGTTTGACCTTCCAAGATCAACACTTGGTTTCAGCTCATCCCTTTTGTTTCGCCAAATTACATGTGCCAATTTCAATTTCACATCAAAGGCTTAAAAAGCTTTTTTTAGCAGTATCTGTTGTCGTATCCAAAATTATTGTATTAAAGATAAAAGAAAATAATACAGACAAAAACTTATATGTTCAATTCATTGAACTAGTGTGTATGAAATTATGCTAACAGTCATTGCAGCTTATGGTTGAATCTTAACTTCTGAACTGCATATTAACCTTCACTTAATCCCTTTCAACCTAGTGAATACTAGATCTGACAAAGCTTCTAGAATACTCACTAAATCAATAAATTGCCCATGTATGATAAAAATCTTAAATTTTTCGAACGCTCCATTACATGGGCTCCCCTTGATTAAATGAAATGCTGCACCATCACTAAATGGTGAATACACAACAAAATATGATAAACTGCAAAACTGCCAAATGTGCATTTATCAAAGTTCAAAAGTGATCACTTGCTATAAAGCAACAATGATGAGACATATTTACAACTGGTTTACTAACCAATCCTACTGAGCATTCATCAGCCTTAAAATATAACAAAAATAATCTAACATTCTTGATTTGGCTAGCTTCATTATATGGAAATATTCATCTTTGACATTTCTTCCAACAAGTATTTGGATTCTGCAGCATAATCAACTGGAGCAACAGCCCTGACTGTTATCCTTTGCCTTTTCTCACTGTTATACTCTTGTGGTGCAACACTGACCCGGAAAAGGTGAGGAACCCATGTAGCTTCCTTCAATTTCATTTGATAAGCAGTTTCTCCCTCCTGAGAAATAGGATAATTCAGTCAAGTTAGCCACAAACTGTTGCTTTCATCGCAATCAGACAAAATCAAGCACAACAAAGGCTTTGGAAAGAAGTACGGACTGTTTTTTACCTCAGATTTAAGCTTGTCAAGTTCATCAGCAGAGCATCCAAGTATTTTCTCTGCTTGCTCATTGAATGCAGAGAGCCAAGCTTCACCACTAGCATCAGAAACTTTCAATGCCATTATATATCTGTGATAAACACATGAAGGTAAGAACTTCAGTAGGCATTACAGGTAATGGGAGGTTTAAGATGAATAAATATTCAATGTCCAAACCTCAAACTACACTCTGCATCATTCTTTTGGCATCCTTCACACCAATAACCAGACCCAAAAGCATCAGTAACTTTCTTGTTACACATCTTACATGCCCGATACCACATGGTCTGATCAGGCTTAATGAAACTTATATATGCCTTTATGCTGAAGAACACAGGCTGCCAACAAAAAAGACATCCAGTTCAGTACAGTGTGTCATATAGACTAGTATAGCAAGTTCTATTTTCCTTGTATATTAAGCTTCAGACTTTTAACACCATAGCATCAAATTCTCTCTAAAAATCAAGTTCTTTATCTTCTAAGAGGGTTTACAATTTTTACCTTCTCCTCACCAAGGGATGGGTTACTAGTTATGTGGAGCAAAGAGACTCTATCAGAGTACATAGATCGTGCTCCATTCTTGGTTGAGGGACTCATACCAGAACCAATAGATGCCAATGAAGTTTCTTTACCTTCAGAGTCATACCTGAACAGAGATGAACATGTGCATTTAGTCAACTGACACTTAAAATAAAATATCAATAGCCCAGTAAATGAATTCATACCAAGATCTCAATTTTTTGGCTTCAGGTAAATCTGGATTCACAACAATATTACTTTTGCTTAACGCAGATAAAGACACTCCTGAAACACAATATGAATAACTATGAGATTGAGACATGAAGAGATCAAGTATATCATGATAAATTTTGTATTGAAAAGTCGCAATTACCCTGAAAGTCTCCAACTTTAAGGGATTTGATTGCAACTACTGGGGATTTATCAGACATGTCTAGTAGTTCTTGTCCAACGTTGGTAGCTAGATCATTCCAAAGAGATACCACAACAGTCTTCTTCCTGATAAAGCAAGCAAGAACTGTTAGATTCAACATACTAGAGAAAGAGAAAAACTCCAAGAGAAGCGTACAGCATTTAAACATACGTCGCATCTGCAATAGTTATGTCACGCTTTGGAACTGTCTCATTGTTACTCTTCCTCCTTATGCTCATTGTAGGAGATACACTCTGAACCACTCCAATTACATCTACAATTCATTGATTTTAAACATTACTACATGGGAATAGGGTAAAAATACATGAAGCAGAAAAAATTAAATATTTGGGATTGCAATTTCTTACCAACAAGCTCTCTGCCATTGACATATGGTCCCAATTCATCAATAGGGACAAAGTTAAATTTTGTGTCTGGGATAAAAGCTTCTTCATTGCTAGCCTCCTCAACTTGAGAATTTTCATTCAAAGTCATCTCATAATCATTTTGTACAGTCTTGAACTGCTTGTTAGCAACCCTAAGTGTTCCCTTTGATATATAATAGACTTTCCCCAATTCAAATTTGTCAAAAAACTTTCTTGCAGCTTCATTAAACATTGTAGCTTGTATTTGTGTACCCTGAATTAAAAAGGTAAAATTTTGTTAGTCATACAATGGATTTAATAAACTTCATTAAAGAGAACGTGTGCCAAATTATTAGATAGTAACTGAGATTCTGCTTACATCCTCATCTGTTAATTCAACATTGAACACGCAACCTTCTCCTCTAGCATTTTTGTAAGTCCGCATATTTCCCTTGCTAGTTACTCGAACTTTAATGGTCCAGTTTCCTTGGTAAGGATTCAAGGAAACAAGCGGCTGAATTCTTCTTGTCATCGCCATTCGTGCAGCTGGTGCCATGCTGAAAGATTAACCCACACATACAACGTTATCAAATTATCAATATCATTGTATACAATTTGGGTATAAAAAAGGATAAAATACTCACTTTCCATGTTGTTCATGTACAATTTGAGCAGCAGATTTAGTTTGAAATTCCTGTTTGGGTTTCAAAACAATCCCAGTTTCTTCCATTTTTACATCGTTCTTGAAATTCTCCTGTACATTTTCTTGGGTCTTCACTTCAGCCTTATATTCTGCTTCAAGTGCAGGCGATACTGCCTCGCATTTTGTTACAATCAAGTACCTAAACAAAATTAGGTAACTCATTAGGTCAAATACAAAACATCCCAAAAAAAAAAACACTAATTAACAATCATAAAATACTCACTTCTCATTCTTGGTTGGAATGTCATTGAGAGTGTAATCAAGAATCCGAATAAGACCCAGATTCTGTATGGATCCAGATATAACTTCAGATGACAGACTGGATTGCAAAATACCCTTGATTTTCATTTTTCCATCACTGGCTGAAAACCTGCAGGTTAAATGTTTATTCAGTTTTGTAATTAGGTGTCATTTTCTGAATTAAGTCAATACAACAAAAAAAAATAAACACATAAACCTCATAGTTAGAAATGAAAAAACATAAGTAAACATAAGGAACAATCTACATCAGAAAAAGAAACAAAACTTAAATCTGAATAATAACAAATGACATTCAATCAAAATTACCCTTGACAACCAGATCTAGGTAACAATGGAAAATACCATTATCGTTATTTTAAATAAACAAATAAATCTGAATGAAATGTGGGTTTCTGAAAAATCAAGCAAGGACAAAAATGAAAACAAATACTATAAGAAATAAAAAATAAAAATAAAAAAAGAACTCACATGTATCTGTTGCCGGTGGGCTTGAGATCCACAACCTGAACGATAATTTCAGGAAGATCTGAAGAAGAATCAGGTGATGGGTTAGCTAAAATAGTCGAAACGGCATCTGGGCTCACCATTTTAGCCATTTGTTTCACTCCCTTTTAAACAAACAGTGAAAGGCGAAGAAAATGAAGGGATAAAAGAAAGACTGTAGAAGAGAGAATTGTTGAGAAATGAAGAAGAAGATGAAGGAGGGAGGGGGTTTTGTAACTGAGGGTTTCTGGCGGGGGGATTGATTTTGGATTTTGGTGAAATTAGTTTTTTGAGTTTGCTGGCGGGAAATGTTTAACTTTAATTTCCGAGGGAAAAGCGGAGTCATAAGTTAAATTTGGCGCCATATATTTGAGGTTCTATTTTCTTTTTCTTTTTCTTTTTCTTTTTCTTTTTCTTTTTCTTTTTGAAAGGAAATGAAAGTGGAAGTGTGGGAAATTCTAGAGATAAACCTTTGTTTGGATTGGAAAGAAACTGAGGAACGAAATATAAATTTCAAGTTATTTATTTTTATGATGTTTTTTTAAGGCTTATTTTTATGGTGCTGTCCCTAAAGAAAATTGCTTTATTTTTTTTAATTATAACTTGAATATTTCATCTTCCATTTCTAAAATATGCGTTCAAATATTTCATCTCCCATTTATTCCACGTATTTTTTGAAACAAACATTTCAATGTAGAATTAGTCTAACCGCTAAACTAAAAATTGTACACTTGTCCTTTGCTTCTAGTTAAATCGTAGGATTAGTCTCTACACAGGGGCGGATTTAGGGGGCGCAAGGGGTTCACCCGAATTCCCTTCGCCGAAAAATTACACTGTATATATAAGGCAAAATCTATTTTTTACCTTTATATATTAAGTTTTGAACTCCCTTAACACAATCCAAAAGTGTAGTTTAGTGGTCAAGGGGGTTCAAAATCTACATAAGGTCATGAGTTCAATTCTCATTAGCTACAAAAAAAAAAATTTGAATCACCTTCGTGGAGATCCTGCCTCCGCCACATTCTCTACATGTACATTAGTCTATAAAATTAATTATGTCAATTTGATATATAGGCGAAGTTAATTCCCTATACAATGGGTTTCTATTATCTTACATGTTGAGATGGATTACTAACATTGACTAAAATAATTTGACCAATAAATCGGAAATGCATGTTAAACATTAAAATCATTAAAATCAGCTTCTAAACATTAACCAATAGGCACAATAAACATTAAAGTAATTAAAATATTACCAGGAGACTAATAGCCCGTTTGGCCAAGCTTCTAAAATCAGCTTATTTTGAGAAGTGTTTTTCTCAAAAGTACTTTTAAAAAAAGTGTTTTGGTGAGAAATAGTTTGTGTTTGGCTAATTAATTAGAAAAGCACTTTTGACCAGTAATTAGTGTTTGGCCAAACTTTTGAAAATTGCTTCTAAGTGTATTTTTCTCAAAAGTATTTCTCATAAAAGTGCTTTTGGAGAGAAGCTACTTTTTTCTGCTTCTCCAAAACTACTTCTACTTCTCAAAAGCACTTTTTTCCTTCCAAAAGCTTGGCCAAACACCTCAATTTTTGGCTACAAGTGCTTTTTTGGCCAAAGGCACTTTTTGGCCAAAAATTGAAGTGTTTGGCCAAGCTTTTGGAAGGAAAAAAAGTACTTTTGATCAGCAGAAAAAAATAGCTTCTCTCCAAAAGCATTTTTCTGATAAGCACTTTTGAGAAAAATACACTTAGAAACAGTTTTTAAAAGCTTCGTCAAACACTAATTACTGCTCAAAAGTATTTTTCTAATTAATTAGTCAAACACAACTACTTCTCACCAAGAACACTTTTTTTAAAAGTCTCAAAATAAGCTGATTTTAAAAGCTTAGCCAAACGGGCTATAAATATGATTTTTTGGGATCAAGCAACCTAAATACGACAGCATAGATAATGGAGTAGTCATACACGCATGACATCATAAGCAAATATAGTAGATATGTATAAACACTATCAAATACTCCCTCCGTTTCAATTTATGTGAACTCATTTGACTGGGCACGAAATTTAAGAAAAAAGAGAAGAATTTTAATCTTGTGGTGCAAAATGAGGCACATATATTTTGTGTGGTTATAAATCATTGTGTAAAGGTAAATTGTTTCCAAATAAGAAAAGGGGTCATTCTTTTTTGCACGGACTAAAAAGGAAATAGGTTCACATAAATTGAAACGGAGGGAGTATACGTTTGTACTATTTGAATTTGAACAACTTTTTCCATTTATATACTTTGGGTGCCTCCACTCAAACTTTTGTCATCCAAACAATGCGTGCCTTTGAATGGAATGCCACCACTCACCGGCTGACCAAATCAGTATTTCTAATTTGACTCTTATCAATACCTCTAGACTCACACACCACCCGTCTAAAAAAAACCTTAATGCGTCTGTAAGATGTAGCGTGGGATCAACACCTAAGGAAGTAACTTTTTTACATATATTGTTAATATATGTCTTTATTTCATGTTTTATTATATACAAAATAATTTAATTTTTTTTGTATAACATATGCGGATATTTCCAATGCAAAAAGTTAATTGGCCAATTAAACGCTACTTTTGTTGCATGACCAACCTGTATGAGTCAAAATCTTACTGAGGAAGTTGAGTGTGGAAAGATCGTAAGGTGAAAAGACTATGTCCTGAGTTGGGCAAATAGGACTAGGTCGACCAGAGCCCAATAACGAGCAATCGCAAAGCGAGCCGTAGAGGTCGAGGTCGAATAGCGAATGATAGGAATAACGGCTAGTGTTGTCTTGGAACTAGTGACGGAAATATTCTCCTGGATAATCCCTTTGTTGTACTTTTTAGGATTTTTAGAGAATATCCTATATAAATAGAAAGAGAAAGAGAGAAGAAAGAGGACACGTGAGATCGAATCTAAGAAAAATTATTGTAAGAAGTTGACCATTGAGAGAAAATACAAAGTTTACCTTTCCATAGTGATTGATTTCATCGATTATTCTTCTTTTACACTCACATGATCCAAGAAAGCATTACTCATATTCTTGGTGACTGTCACATTTCATTGTCAAAATGAAGAATCTTCCACATCATTTGATATTTTGGTGACTTGTCCTTCATATTTACATTTATTGTCATTTCTCATATTTATTGCTCATTATTCATTCTTCATTTACTCCCTAAGGTGTGCATTTAATGACTGAATATACAGGTATAACCATTTGATAAACGGTCTCACCCAAATTCTAATCTCGGATCTAGAACTTATTATATTTAACTAGAATTTACCTATCACATTCACTTAATTAGTTTAACAAAAAGGTTTAAGACTTTTTGGTCAAATAATTTGGCGCCGTCTATAGAGATTTTCTAGTTAAAAGTTTTAGTTTTTTCTAGATCTAAAAAAAAACACGCAAAACTCTGCACAATCATATATCTCGTTGTTTGTACAGATCTGACTTGGCAGGCAATTGAGAAGAAAAAATAAAGGCAATAGCCGATCTCACCGCCAATCTCATAAACACTATCGGCGAAGCTCACGAAGAGGACGAGGAGAACGTGACACCAAGTGCCTCACACAGGCGAAGCGATTCACCCCCTCCTCGTGGCAGCATTACCGCTTTTTATGGAAATGGAGCCTCTATGTTCACTACGGAAGAAGCACCACCAGCGGTAAAAAAGCTACTAAAAGCATGGCTAATGAATACACTGAACAACATACTAGATAAACCCGCTCAGAGGGCGAGCAGAGGGAGTGTGCGAGTCGACATCGCTACAACAAACAATGAGCAGCACACCCAACCTCCCACGATAGGTATTATTCACTATGTTAATTTTGCAGGTAACAACGCCATCACTGCTATTTTTAGAAAAATAGAAGAGATGGAGAACGAGAACAAGGCACTCCGCGACCAAATGAGGGAGCATCTAGAAAGGGTAGATAAGATACCGGGCGCCCCAAAACTCATACCAAAATAGTACGCCAACCGGTTCGTGGAACAACCATATAGCGACGAGGCCGCGCCACATGCTATAGCAAAAACTTTCAAAATGCCATCATATTTTAAAATATATGATGGCATGACGGATCCGGAGGATCATGTGACCCACTATGTCACTGCAGTGAAAGGCAACGACCTTGCAAAAGAACAACTATCATCCATATTGTTGAAGAAGTTTCGAGAGACCCTAGCCGACGGGGCCCTAACTTGGTACTCGCAATTACATGCGCGCTTCATAGAAACATTCGAAGAAATGGCTGACAAGTTCGTCACCACCCATGCCGGGGCAAAGAAAGCGGAGGCAAGGGTGAACGACATATTCGCCATCAAGCAATCTCTTAGCGAGGGACTCAGGGGCTTCCTTGCCCGATTCAACCGTGTAAGAATGACCCTTCCGAATGTATCTGAAGGGATGGCAGTGGCCGCTTTTCAGAATGGGCTGAGCAAAAGTGGATCGAGGGTGACCAAAAAATTACTGAGTCGACTCATGAAATACCCTCCAACCACTTGGGATGAGATGCACAATGCCTATTGTGTTGAGGTAAGAGCCGACGAGGATGATCTCAATGGGCCTATTCAACGCCTAACCTCTGTCCAAATGGAGTTTAGGAAAGACCAAAGAAACACAACAGAAGAGATCTAGCAGGGTCACGACCTAAGCGAGAAAGACATCAGCCTTACATCAGAGGCACCCTCATGCCACCTCTACGTCACGACAAAGGTCCATCCAGACCGCGAACGGGAACCCACCGAAATGAAAGAGGTATGCCCCCTTATTATCATCTCACAATTTTTGTGTTTCCCTATAAGAAATAGTCTACGCATTAGAGAAGCTCGACCCAAAGGTAAAATTTTTGCTGAAAATGTAGTCTGACCCGAGCACTAGAAAATCAAACGCCCTCTGCGAATTGCACTAGGAGTGAGGTTACAAGACCGAGGACTATATCACCCTTAGACAAGAGGTCATGAACATGATTCACTAAGGGCACCTAAAAGAGTTGATTAGCGATCGAGGAAGGGCCAACTTTGCACGAGGAAGGGAACAACATCAGAGGCAACCCAAACCACCTTCCCTAGTTTGAACCATTCAAATGATCATCGGGGGGGGGCGACGACACATCTATCAACAACATGAAATTCACCACCACTCACAAGCCCAAGCTATCAATCACCCACAAATGATATGACGAACTCGAATAAGGTATCACCTTCGATAAGTCAG